TTTGGCACCCGCCTCCCACAACATCCCACGCGGCACCTGAGGGCAAAACCAGCGAGGCAAACTTCTGGCGCGGGAAGAAGGCTCCCGTGGCGTCGTGCGGCGCCTACTTGGCGCGACCCCAAAGTTTCATGGTTACCCTCTGGTAAACATACAAAAAACGATGGAAAACCACCATGCTATTAATGGGTAAATCAACTATTTCTATGGCCATTTTCCAGTAGCAAACTGTTACATTACCAGATGGTAATCATCTTCCCGTTCTGAAAAATGGATACTTAGAAGGTATACCCCATTTTCATACGCACCCAATTTTTTGCGTTTCCATAGTGGGGATCCCCAAGTCTCACCTCGTGGTCTCCACACCTGGAGGCAGCTCACGTAGTAAATAGGATAGCTTCACCCCAGTTCTAAATGGACTAACTCTCCGTCAGTGAATCAAACTGAGCTCAATGTGAAATCTAACTCTTTACTAAGTGAACTGAGCTCTTTACTAAGTGAAATCAAAAACCAGCACCCCCTTATAATCTAACATAGCTACAATGTTAGGTCCCAAAAAAAATGAGTAATTGTGATTATAAACTAATGAATTACAAGGAGTGATCAAGTATCCCTGTAAATGTCATTTTTGATTCTCTTTTCACGATTTGAACATCATTTATTTCACATGATAGTGACTTTTTTGAGGAGAAATGCAGTAATTTACACAGATCTGGATGAAGATCTGATAATTCTCCAACCTCAAAAGTTCGGCTTTGGCAGAGTTGCCCACCAATCCAGTCTGCAATATTTTAAAAAATAGATCTGGATGATCTGGAATGTGTGGCCACAATAAATTACAATACAACAGTGGGGAAACAATTACAATGACAATAGTAATATGACAATTACAAATTACAATGACAATAGTGAATATTATATGACAATGGAATTACAATATCATAGTGATATTACAATTGTGAATTACTATTGTCATATGACAATTACAATGACAATAGTAATGATAAAACAATGAATGACAAGAATGTGAATATTCCGATAATCTGATCTGGATGAGCCGACCATATAAAAACCATTTGTCAAACCTGGAAAACATCAACCATATTCTCAATTGTCAACCATTGATGGTCTCCTGTTTACAATAGGTTATCAACTATATATTTGAATTTGATGCTTAAATCTCAAAAAAATATGGTTTCCATGCAAAAAATGCCGCGAAATGCCGAGAATACCCCCTGGAAAGTGGAAACTTGCTGCTTCCGAGGCAGAATCTGCAAATTCGTTTCAGGTTTTGAACGACATCCACAAACAAAAGATGATGAAAAGAGTAAAAGTATATTATAATATATCATATTAATTTTATATAATATATATATATAATATATATATATAATATATATAATATATATATATAATATATATAATATATATAATATATATATATAATATATATATATATATATTCGTTATGTTAGTATATCTCATATTTATGTTGGAAATCCACCGAATTCATGGAGCTACACAAGAATTGCTGAAGAACTGGGGAAACCTTTGAGGCCCAAGTCTCGCCTTTTTTTAGAATCCAAAAGTCCTTGGTTTTTTTGGGAAAGTTCATGACCTAATCATGATATTTCATGGTTCACAAAATAGTTATGGTATGTTATGGTTACAACCTAGAACAACCTCTGAATTCCGGAGATGTTTGGAGGATCATCCTGAAAAATTCATCCAACTGCTCGGATCACTATATATATATACCATGATTATATCATAAATAATAAGAAAATATCATGATAATGTCGGTTTTCTTTCCCCAGTTTATAACTAAGGTGTTGGATACAACCAAGGTGTTTATAATATTTTATAATGGCAATGATATTAATCCACGTTAACACCAAGGCTTTGTACAGGAAGGGGCCCCATCATTAGCAAAGTGGGTTTATAACCGTAATGACTAGGATTTATGATGGATATATCTATAGTTAGATAGGGTTATAAACCAATTTATAACCAGGGGGGACCTTCCTGTAATGTCGGAGATATAAGGATGGGACATAAATTTAGGATATCGTATCAGAGATTTTATGGCTTTGATCCATAATTGGGGGTGCAGGCAAGGGGTTATCAATGAATATAACTGTGGGACTTAAACCTCCATAAGCTTGGGAGATAGGGATATGACCCATAACCCCTACAACTATGGTGAGATTATTCACGTATTACTTGTGGCTCCACTGCACCCCTCAGTAAGAATCAAGAATCATACCCAAAATCAAGAGGGGCGTGGTCGAAACCTTCAATAATACCACATTCGGGGTGTTGAACATACATGTGTACAAGCTATTTTTGGTGTGAAAACTAAGGGCCCCCAGTTTTGACATGTACCCAAATCATTCCAAAACTACAAAATCAATCAGAAAATAACCAGACTCAAAATTGATATGATCAACAAGGGGGGAAGAATCGCAATCTAATAATGATGAGAATAACATTCCCGATTGGTTTGATTAAAAAAACATGGTAAAAATATGGTAACAACATGTAACAACAATGAGAATAATAACAATAATAATGATTCTATTTGGGTTAGATAGGAAATAATCATAAATAATCCAAAATTGAACTATTGTTATGATGTTATAAATTGATCTTATTAATCCAAAATAGAATCTATAGATCCTTGTTGGTGGTTTTAACCATCTTGAAAAATCTGAGTGAAAGTCGATGGGGTTGGGATTATCCCATATATGGAAAAATTATATATCGCAAATATTATCCCATTATAATGGTTCCTTTGGCATATTATCCCACATATTATCTGGGTAAATTAAAATATTTCACAAACCTGAATTAAGGCCATTTGGGGATGATTCCGATGATTCCCCTTACTAACCACGATTCCAGTGAGGTCGCAGTGAGGTCGTTATAATTTACCCAGATATTATGGCAAATGTTTGAAACCACCAGCCAGGATCCAAAAAATATGCTGCCGCCTGCAGCTGTGCGCGGCCACCCCACAGCAGATCACCGATGCGTGGGCCTGCACGGGGCAGAGAATGGTGACCTGAAAAAGATCTGGGGATATGATGAAAGTTGAACCAACCATGGTATATGGGGATATAGTAATGATATCATGGGAAATATATGCTTCAGAAACCATTTATGGGAGTATATGATATAATAATGCTATATATCTGGTTGGTGCTTGACCTACCCCTCTGAAAAATATGATTTCGTCAATTGGGATGATGAAAATCCCATATAAAATGGAAAATAAAAAATGTTTGAGACCACCAGCCAGGGATTACATGGGGATATAATAATGATATAATGGGATATATGCTTCAGAAAAGAAGTTGCCCAAAATGGTAATTCTTTTATGGGTGGGTAATGTGTTTTATTTTTGGGGTGTACAATGGGTTTAAGAACTACCAACAGTTGTGGGCATTTGGGTGTGTCTTTTCAGATGGTATGTCCCCAGTCATGGCCATCAAACAATATCAAAAATGAATTTCCAAACCATGGGAGTTTTCTGGATTTTCCCATGTTCAAAGTAAATCTAAAATGGGGATTGAGGAAAATAAGGACTCAATCTCCATCCAAAGTCACTTTGAAAAACCTGGTACCCTCTGGTTATTTAACATATTGTCAATGTTTAATGAGTTTAATAGGTACCCTCTGGTAAACTAATATAACTATCGAAAATCACCATTTAAAATGGGTAAAATCCACTATCAATGGCCATGTTTAATAGCTATGTTAGTTTACCAGAGGGTAAATCATCTGCAAATGGGCCATTTTCCATAGCTATTGTGGCAGCTTCTGAGATCTGCTGGTGATGGCTTTGGGAGCGTTTCAACCAACCATCCAGGGTGATGATTTGTTTTAGGGCCCCCCTTGGTGGTTGATAATTTTGATCCCCAAATTATCCAAATATCGTGAAACTGGGAAATCTTTATGATACAAAAATCAAGACCTCTCCATGTTTTTTCCTTGTCTTGAAAAAATATATTTCAAGATGGCATCCTGGTGGAAAACAAAAAAAAACACGAAAGGTTGGATTTTTTTCGCCCCAACAAAAGGTGGATTCACCAAGAATCCGAACGTGGTTTTCCAAGGGCAGAGGTGGTAGCAACACTAATGGTAGGATTTTGCTTCATGAGTTGGTGAGGCATTCTGCCAATGGTTGTGGCATGGTGCCAGTGCAACAAACACCACCAGAACTTCCTACGCAACAAGTGCCAGTGAGTGCTAATTTGTGTCCAGCTCAAACATCAAAACCAAGCAGTTGGGGAAACATTTGACAGCTACAAGTTGGGTGATATTGGTCTCATGGTCGGGTCACGTTCAACACGACAAAGAACCAGATCCAAAGTTCCAACCATCTGCAATCGCTACGAGGGGATCGTCCCACTTAATTTCTGAAACAAAACATCGTTACAACATGTTACCGAATTTTTGTTCATCACGTAGGGGACCTACGAACCAAGGTTATTAACCACTTGCTAGGTGATCTAGAAAAGTAGTATTCAGTTGCCAGTTACATTCTATTCCCTTGTTTTTGCTGGTGTAATACCCCCCATTTTGATGGTTAAACACCATATTAGTGGCGACTTTTCGGAGGCGCCGATCCTCCCGGAGACTGGGCCATCCTTTTTCCACCGCGCCGAAGCGAAAGCGTCACGGACCGGACCAGAGGGAATCCAGGAATTGACTAAAGCGCCGCGCTTTGCCACCCAATAACTTCCTCAAAACACCGTGGGCACGTGCCGGGTGCCGGGCAGTAGAAGGGGATCGAAATAAGAAGCCTTAAAAACCCAGCTATACTAAAATAAGTGTATGTATAAGATATTATATATATATATATATATACTTCAGGAGGAACAAAGTTTATGCTTCTTGCAAGCGTTAGGAAACGTCCATCTCGGTCACCCGCGGATCACATTTCCAAGTCCATTTCGTGTGGCAGGTGTGGGACGGTCAATTATCACCCTCTTTTAAATCTATAAGATTTAAACTCATTTGGAGGGTGGAAATGCGACCGGGGTACGACACAGCTCCATGCTAGGATTCTAAGGGGAAAGGGTGTTCAGAAGAAGAACTCACACATGTTCACTGTCGGCAGCTCAACAAGCGCAACTTTTGTCCTACCAGTGCGTCACGGCAGAGGTGTAGCATTGCCAACAAAGAGGATGGGCGTTTCCCAAAATCCTCAATCGACAAGAGGCACATTAGCCAGAGGATGCAGCACCACGTTTACGGACTACCTCCCGGCAGGTTTTGATGTAGCCTTTGGCGATCCGCTTCGCCGCATTTTGTGCATGCGCGGACTTCAGCACATTCTTGATTCTGGTTTTGTAAGCACACTTGCCAATCCACGGCCTCTTCTTCAATGCATCCTGCAGATCCAAGTAATTCAGCCGCTTGCGCAAGTATGACCAGAATCTTTCGATGGGATTTAAATCCGGTGATTTGGCAGGAATTCTCCACAAATGTATTTTGGCCTTCCGGTACGCTGCGCGACAATCACTTGATACCAAGAAGGCCTCATTATCGCAAAGCACATGCCACGGCCCATCCTTTTTGACCGGGCGTAGGCTCTTGATTGCAGACGCCACCTTTCCAGCTTGCAAGACACGGATCCACTCAGCCTTGGTGAGCTTCTTCTTTGCATGGAAGACTACTGTTGCGAAACCTCCTTCGCTCAAGCCACCCCACAGCGGGATGCATCTATCCAAGGGGCTCTGCTTTGCGAAGCAATCCTGCCCCGCCAGAGAAGGCTCTAGCCTTTCTGACTTCAATCGCCACATGTGGGTTTGGCCGGAGTGAAGGTAGTTAAGCCTGTCAGTCAGATTTTTGGGAGGCATGGTTAGGACGCAGCCATCCATGGAGAAAGACAACTTCTGCCGCAGCCGACACGGCCCGAGTGCCACGACAGCTTCGGCAAATGCCTTCCTCTCGCTCATTTGCTGGGGAGTGTACTTGCGCTTTTGCCCTCGAGGTAGCCATCTGTAGCCTTGTGCCTGCAAGAACTTGCGGATTGTACTTTGATCAACTGCTACACCACGGGCCCGGGCCAGCTCAGCTTGCAAAGACTTTGTGGTGCACATCCCTTGCTTCCTCATCCTCCGCAAGGAGCGCAACACAAATCCTTGCGTGGCTGTTGTCAGCTTCCAAGGCCGACGGCCACAATTGTTGTAAGCAGTTTTTTTCCTGCCACGTGACACAGAAAATTGCTTGTAGTACTGACAGCAAGTCCTTGGAGATGGCTGCTTGCCAGCCAAATTTTTCACTTGCGCAGCTATGTCCACAAATGATAAGCCTTGCACATCCCGCAGAATCACCACTTTGCGTTGGTTCTGGAAATCCAATCCTCGAGGGTGAATGTTTTCACATACCAAAACCATGGCTGGGAGTGTCTGCGGTTATCGCAAGCTCTTGGTGGTCTGAGCCAAGGGAACAGCGATGCGCAACATGCTCAACAGCCCCAGATGGAGATGTGTCGGCCAGTCAGTCAGCTGTGTGAAAGAAAGTTGCAACAGTGCATTAGCTACGGGTGGCGCATGCGTCGTACCCCGGGCTAGATAGGTAATTCCAGGCTATACCCGTGTATCCCAGACACTGGCAGCAGAAACCCTGTACACTCAGACCCCAGCTTTTTCCAAGCACATTGACTGTTGTTGGCATTGACACCAGAACCGCTTGAATGACTGCATGTGGCCTAAGGGGAGGCTGGCGGCCATTCAACCACAACACGATTGGGTGGTTTACTGAGCCAGTCATTGGCCTCCAAGTAACCTCGGTTCTTAGTGGTGTAATTGATGGTCACCACTGTGGGAACTTTGAACAAATATTTGGTATAGAAGCAAGTCCCTCCCTGCGTGGTTGCGAATTCAATGCGACTGTCATACTTGCCCTGAACCTTCTCCTGGTGCGAAACCAAGAAGTCAAGGTCCCGGACGTCATCAAGGATGAGGGCATCGTGCACCCCTCGCTTGAATTCAACCATCTTCGCAGGGAAGACCTCGCTGCTGCCCACCTTCAACTCAAGTGGCTTCTGGAAGAGGCTATTGGCGTACTCGGTCTTCCCAGACGCGGATGCCCCAACCAAAATGAGAAGAGGATACCTCAACAAGTCAGTCTTGAAGTGCTCCAGCCAAGCTGACACAGCTGGCACAGGTGGGAATGGCTTGTAAATTGCTGGATTGGAGCGGATCCGCTTCACTGTCGCGGCAATTTCAGCTTCCTCAGCCTGCGCTTCTGACCATGCTTTGCATGCATCCAAGTTCCTCTTGCGGGCTTGGACACCATCGCGGGTGAGAAAAAGGTATTCTTCATAAGTGGCATGGTCCAGCTTGTAATGCTTCCAAAGAGCCTCCGGCCACTTCCCTTGTACCCGGTATGTGGCCGCACCATCTTGGCTGCACCACGCCGGCACGTAGTTCCCGGTGACGCACTCATGCCCACCTTCATCAACCACAGTGCCAAGCTTCTTGGCGAAGACATAGAAGAACCCACGATCGATGCTCTGTTGTGGGTTTCGCCGACCAACACCTTCGCCCAAGTAATCATGGGCGCTGACATTGGGATTGATGCCTTCAAAGGCAAATGCGCGGCTGCTTCGGTCTTGCTTCACCCAGAACTGTAGCATAAGGTGCGCATGCAAGCGGCCAGACTTGCAGGTCTCCAAAGTGGCACACCAATACTTCACATTCCAAGAAGACACGTTGGCTTTCACACAGTTGACGAACCTGCGCCATTGGTCCAAGGAGGTGAAGGACTGATAGGTGAGCAGCACCGCGGAACATTCAATGCGGTACACTGCTTCGTTGCTCGCTGGTCTGCCTTGGGGGCCCTTGTTGTTCAAAGCCTGTTCCCACGCGACCTTTGCAGCACGTAGCCTTGTCAAAGCCTCACCATCGGTGCGGCCCCGTGCTTTGCGTAGAACTGTGCCATACGCTGCATGCAGGCATGGTGGGTCTGAATCTCTGCTAACGCTTGGCTCCACATTCAGGACGGCTGCCACCGCTAGAAGGGCGGACACCAATGCGCGCTGACAGAGTTGCAGATGCGACACCATGGCGACAATGAACAAGGAAAGGATGCTGCACGGCAATGCTTTCAAGCCAGAGGAGACAAGCAGGTTAGATTGCGTGGAGCAGTGATGAAGATGAGGCAAGTGCAAAAGTCAGCATCTGACGTGGAAATTCCCACTAAATAAGCTTTTTGTACTCTTCAGGAGGAACAAAGTTTATGCTTCTTGCAAGCGTTAGGAAACGTCCATCTCGGTCACCCGCGGATCACATTTCCAAGTCCATTTCGTGTGGCAGGTGTGGGACGGTCAATTATCACCCTCTTTTAAATCTATAAGATTTAAACTCATTTGGAGGGTGGAAATGCGACCGGGGTACGACACAGCTCCATGCTAGGATTCTAAGGGGAAAGGGTGTTCAGAAGAAGAACTCACACATGTTCACTGTCGGCAGCTCAACAAGCGCAACTTTTGTCCTACCAGTGCGTCACGGCAGAGGTGTAGCATTGCCAACAAAGAGGATGGGCGTTTCCCAAAATCCTCAATCGACAAGAGGCACATTAGCCAGAGGATGCAGCACCACGTTTACGGACTACCTCCCGGCAGGTTTTGATGTAGCCTTTGGCGATCCGCTTCGCCGCATTTTGTGCATGCGCGGACTTCAGCACATTCTTGATTCTGGTTTTGTAAGCACACTTGCCAATCCACGGCCTCTTCTTCAATGCATCCTGCAGATCCAAGTAATTCAGCCGCTTGCGCAAGTATGACCAGAATCTTTCGATGGGATTTAAATCCGGTGATTTGGCAGGAATTCTCCACAAATGTATTTTGGCCTTCCGGTACGCTGCGCGACAATCACTTGATACCAAGAAGGCCTCATTATCGCAAAGCACATGCCACGGCCCATCCTTTTTGACCGGGCGTAGGCTCTTGATTGCAGACGCCACCTTTCCAGCTTGCAAGACACGGATCCACTCAGCCTTGGTGAGCTTCTTCTTTGCATGGAAGACTACTGTTGCGAAACCTCCTTCGCTCAAGCCACCCCACAGCGGGATGCATCTATCCAAGGGGCTCTGCTTTGCGAAGCAATCCTGCCCCGCCAGAGAAGGCTCTAGCCTTTCTGACTTCAATCGCCACATGTGGGTTTGGCCGGAGTGAAGGTAGTTAAGCCTGTCAGTCAGATTTTTGGGAGGCATGGTTAGGACGCAGCCATCCATGGAGAAAGACAACTTCTGCCGCAGCCGACACGGCCCGAGTGCCACGACAGCTTCGGCAAATGCCTTCCTCTCGCTCATTTGCTGGGGAGTGTACTTGCGCTTTTGCCCTCGAGGTAGCCATCTGTAGCCTTGTGCCTGCAAGAACTTGCGGATTGTACTTTGATCAACTGCTACACCACGGGCCCGGGCCAGCTCAGCTTGCAAAGACTTTGTGGTGCACATCCCTTGCTTCCTCATCCTCCGCAAGGAGCGCAACACAAATCCTTGCGTGGCTGTTGTCAGCTTCCAAGGCCGACGGCCACAATTGTTGTAAGCAGTTTTTTTCCTGCCACGTGACACAGAAAATTGCTTGTAGTACTGACAGCAAGTCCTTGGAGATGGCTGCTTGCCAGCCAAATTTTTCACTTGCGCAGCTATGTCCACAAATGATAAGCCTTGCACATCCCGCAGAATCACCACTTTGCGTTGGTTCTGGAAATCCAATCCTCGAGGGTGAATGTTTTCACATACCAAAACCATGGCTGGGAGTGTCTGCGGTTATCGCAAGCTCTTGGTGGTCTGAGCCAAGGGAACAGCGATGCGCAACATGCTCAACAGCCCCAGATGGAGATGTGTCGGCCAGTCAGTCAGCTGTGTGAAAGAAAGTTGCAACAGTGCATTAGCTACGGGTGGCGCATGCGTCGTACCCCGGGCTAGATAGGTAATTCCAGGCTATACCCGTGTATCCCAGACACTGGCAGCAGAAACCCTGTACACTCAGACCCCAGCTTTTTCCAAGCACATTGACTGTTGTTGGCATTGACACCAGAACCGCTTGAATGACTGCATGTGGCCTAAGGGGAGGCTGGCGGCCATTCAACCACAACACGATTGGGTGGTTTACTGAGCCAGTCATTGGCCTCCAAGTAACCTCGGTTCTTAGTGGTGTAATTGATGGTCACCACTGTGGGAACTTTGAACAAATATTTGGTATAGAAGCAAGTCCCTCCCTGCGTGGTTGCGAATTCAATGCGACTGTCATACTTGCCCTGAACCTTCTCCTGGTGCGAAACCAAGAAGTCAAGGTCCCGGACGTCATCAAGGATGAGGGCATCGTGCACCCCTCGCTTGAATTCAACCATCTTCGCAGGGAAGACCTCGCTGCTGCCCACCTTCAACTCAAGTGGCTTCTGGAAGAGGCTATTGGCGTACTCGGTCTTCCCAGACGCGGATGCCCCAACCAAAATGAGAAGAGGATACCTCAACAAGTCAGTCTTGAAGTGCTCCAGCCAAGCTGACACAGCTGGCACAGGTGGGAATGGCTTGTAAATTGCTGGATTGGAGCGGATCCGCTTCACTGTCGCGGCAATTTCAGCTTCCTCAGCCTGCGCTTCTGACCATGCTTTGCATGCATCCAAGTTCCTCTTGCGGGCTTGGACACCATCGCGGGTGAGAAAAAGGTATTCTTCATAAGTGGCATGGTCCAGCTTGTAATGCTTCCAAAGAGCCTCCGGCCACTTCCCTTGTACCCGGTATGTGGCCGCACCATCTTGGCTGCACCACGCCGGCACGTAGTTCCCGGTGACGCACTCATGCCCACCTTCATCAACCTCAGTGCCAAGCTTCTTGGCGAAGACATAGAAGAACCCACGATCGATGCTCTGTTGTGGGTTTCGCCGACCAACACCTTCGCCCAAGTAATCATGGGCGCTGACATTGGGATTGATGCCTTCAAAGGCAAATGCGCGGCTGCTTCGGTCTTGCTTCACCCAGAACTGTAGCATAAGGTGCGCATGCAAGCGGCCAGACTTGCAGGTCTCCAAAGTGGCACACCAATACTTCACATTCCAAGAAGACACGTTGGCTTTCACACAGTTGACGAACCTGCGCCATTGGTCCAAGGAGGTGAAGGACTGATAGGTGAGCAGCACCGCGGAACATTCAATGCGGTACACTGCTTCGTTGCTCGCTGGTCTGCCTTGGGGGCCCTTGTTGTTCAAAGCCTGTTCCCACGCGACCTTTGCAGCACGTAGCCTTGTCAAAGCCTCACCATCGGTGCGGCCCCGTGCTTTGCGTAGAACTGTGCCATACGCTGCACGCAGGCATGGTGGGTCTGAATCTCTGCTAACGCTTGGCTCCACATTCAGGACGGCTGCCACCGCTAGAAGGGCGGACACCAATGCGCGCTGACAGAGTTGCAGATGCGACACCATGGCGACAATGAACAAGGAAAGGATGCTGCACGGCAATGCTTTCAAGCCAGAGGAGACAAGCAGGTTAGATTGCGTGGAGCAGTGATGAAGATGAGGCAAGTGCAAAAGTCAGCATCTGACGTGGAAATTCCCACTAAATAAGCTTTTTGTACTCTTCAGGAGGAACAAAGTTTATGCTTCTTGCAAGCGTTAGGAAACGTCCATCTCGGTCACCCGCGGATCACATTTCCAAGTCCATTTCGTGTGGCAGGTGTGGGACGGTCAATTATCACCCTCTTCTAAATCTATAAGATTTAAACTCATTTGGAGGGTGGAAATGCGACCGGGGTACGACACAGCTCCATGCTAGGATTCTAAGGGGAAAGGGTGTTCAGAAGAAGAACTCGCACATGTTCACTGTCGGCAGCTCAACAAGCGCAACTTTTGTCCTACCAGTGTATATATATATATTATACATACACAGCATGTTTTGTATGTATGTATATATATATATATTATTGTATATACTCTATGTATTTGTATGTGATATCACTGATATCTAATCATAAATTTTGACAGATCCTTTCAGGAGATTTGCTGAGACCTTGGCAGGAACTTAGCCATTGAAATATGAGGCTAATCATCAATCAAATTGGGATTTTAACCATCAAGAATTTGGAATTTAACACTATCAAAATGTTGAAATTTAACAAACACAAATCTGATTTCAGGCAAGCAAAATCTGGCTTCCCCAATGCCAACAAACCATCATCTTGGATTTGCTCAAGGAGCCCCAAACAAAAAAACATCTTCCGTTTAGATCCCCGAGTGAATTTCTCATCGGGAAAAGAAGCCAAATCATCTTCAGCAAGGTCAATTGTGAAGTAGCTGGTCGGTTATGTTCCCTTTGCTTCACAACAATGGTAAGTGTTTCCACTTGTAAAAGGGCTAACTCTTGGAATTGGACTTACCAAAGTTGCGCACCATGGCTAATCTTAGATACCTTGGATAGCATATTCCGAAATTTAGATCCGTGTGCAGTTTTTCGATGAAAACAATATGTGTTATTTTTAGTAATTCAGCAAAAAGTAAGTAATCTAACAATATCTAACATACTTATGGAAAAAGGCCCAGTTGTAGTACATGATTTACCATATTCATCGTGGTTTTCCATGGTTTTCCATAGTAAACTGCATATTTCAAAGGATACCACGGCACCCGAGAAAAACCAAGTGACTTGTCTTTCCAGTTGACCTCTGCCTCGGCGGAAACCCCCATTTCGTAGCTTACCATAGGTTACCTAACCATGGTCGTAAGCTAGTGTTTGGTTACCCCATGTTCTATTCATATGGGGTTACCAATCTATTAATATGGTGTCACCTAATATATTAATAGATTGGTAACCTAAGCTGTTAAAAACTATGGTAATCCTAAGCCGTTACGATTCCTGGGATGATCCCCTACCAAGAAGAAATTAAAGCAACAAGTAAGTAGTGGCTTGGCTTCAGGGAAATCACTCCAATTCAAAGCATAATCATAACATCACATTTCACTAATCTGAAATGTTGGCCCACTTTGGGATAGCTACCCCTCAAAAGTCACCATCATGTCGGAATTCTGTCGCGACATGAGGTCGTTAGAATAAGTATCCAGAGGCAATTTTTGGTAGCAAAGAATTCTAACTCCAGTCGGATTTTCGCACGAACCGAGGGGATGTGGAAATTGTCAGGAAATCAGTTCGCCGAGTTTCTCAGTTCCTCACCATCTACGGCAGGACTGGGGTTAGTTAGGACTGGTTTTATGGTACAACTATGATAACCCCAAAGTTGGGATATAAATATGTGTATGTATATATATAATAAATTACGATGATATAACCCAAAAAAAAACTACAACTATGGTTATACAACCGTATATAACCCACTTATGTTCTTTAAAAAAAAAAACTCATTATAGTGGAACTGCACCAAGTAGTCCAAAAATATCCAAAAATCGTCAAAAGGATTGCCCCTTTATATCCTTTCGACAAACATCTTGTTTCTCATCCGAAACGACACGTACGTTTGCTCGACGGCGACCTCCGCGTACACGAAGCTGGCAACATCTTCCACATTCTTCTCCTCGGTGCGGTCAATACAGGGCGAGTCTTCGTCTACGATAGCTTTGACGGGTCAGTTACGGTGAACTGCTTAGTGAAGTTTGTCCAACCAGAAAACAATATTATAGTATATGTGAGTCAGTATATTATTCGTCAGCCCTTGGCTGTCTACCCGGGGAACACGGAAAAATCATGGGGACATACGATTTGGTTGCAGCTTTTCAGGGTTCCCAACACTCCAGTTACAGAGGGAAGGTAAACTAGATAAATCAGGAGCTAAAATGATGCTATCATCTAACTATACTGGGTTGGAGCAACCCTGTTTGTTTGAACCATGTTCAGCCCAAAAAAATGGTACTGCTTAGCGTCGCAGGTCTGTACTACGTAGCTTTCTGTTGGAAAATGCGGCTAGTGCAAGCGTCATGAATCTTAGACATCCGGCATCATTGCAGTCTTTCTTTTAGCTGGTTACTAGATGAACCATGGTCAAAACATGGTATGTGGGTTATGGTCATCCATCCCATCAAGGGAATCCAAACATAAGTGTATACATCCCGAACTGAAAAGATAACCATCCCTCAACGTGGGACAACAAATCATGTAACTTGGCCATGACAAAAAGTTCGGGGTTAGTATGCGTATGATTATCCTAGAGTAGCTAGAATATGGGTTTTTCAAACATAGTTCCATGTTCATATTCCGCCGGCTGGTTTTCAACATAGCTATGGAAATAACATGAAATAACATATTTATAGATGTATGATGATTTGCCTAATACTTTTATGGTGATTTTACCAGAGGGCCTCTGCTTATCTCTTTTTCAGGTATCTACTCCAGAATGACAAAACAAATTCCATTAGTTGGTTGAGAACGGGATTCCCGGTTCTTGGATTCTTATAATCCCCAACATACTGGGTAGTATAATCCCCAAACTAATCATCAACCCAACTATCTCCAACGGATACCAAAGAAAGTGATGATCAAAATCACAAAAAAAAACATGAAATTTACCAACCCCTGCAGAATGACCAAATAAATTCCTATGAAGATGGTAGGTCTCTGCTTTGTCAAGCCATCCAAGTTGCTCCCAAATTGGCAAAGCTCGGCATGGGCGCCTGCCCCTCAACCACCTGTCCTTGGGTCCGGTTCGGAAAACCCAGTTTTGATGATGGGAATATCAAGAGAATATACAACTAAAGTTGGTTTATAGCTAGGTGAATGCTATGGTTTATGGTAGATATATCGAACTAGTTCATGGGGTTTATGAACCAACTACCCTCCAGTATGTAAACTGACATCGTTTTTTTGTATGTGTTCATTGTACTCTCGCGTAAACTTACCAATCAAGTTGACCAGTTTCTACAAAGAGGCTCGTTGGTAGTTCTGAGATGCTTTGTCTAACGGTCGCAGAGTGTGCCCCGGGGGGGTTCGAACTGTTCGATTCGAGTTCGAACTGCCATCCTAGGTGTGCCTCGAGGGGAGGGGGTGGGGTTCGAGTTCGAGTTCGAGTTCGAGGGTTCGAGTTAACCCGGGGGGGTTCGAACTGTTCGACACCAGTTTGAACTGGCATCGTACGTCTGCTTCGGAGGGGATGGGGGGAGGGGGAGGAGTTCGAGTTCGAGTTCGAGGTCGGGAGGATTTTTTTTTTTTTGGCGGGGGGGGGGGAGGTCGAGTTCGCGTTCGAGTTCGATTCGAGGGTTCGAACTGTCATCGTTCGAGGGGGAGCGAGTTCGAGTTCGAGTTCGAGTCGAGGCGGGGGGGGGAGTTTGGAGGGGGGGGGTTCGAGTTCGAGTTCGAGGTCGGGGGGAGGAGTTCGAGTTCGATTGCGAGTTCGAGTTCGAGGTCGGGAGATTTTCTTTTCGTTGGGCGGGGGAGGGGGGAGTTCGAGTTCGAGTTCGAGGGTTCGAATTGTTATCCTTCCAGGGGAGGGGGGGGGAGTTCGAGTTTCGGTTTCGAGGGTTCGAACTGTCATCGTTCGAGGGGAGGGGGGGGGGAGTTCGAGTTCGAGTTCTAGGTCGGGAGTTTTTTTTTTTGTGGCGGGGGGGGGGGGTGGAGTTCGAGTTCGAGTTCGAGGGTTCGGAGGATTCCGAAAAACTGTTGTCCGTACTATGACTCTTCCAAGTCGTCGAACTCCCGCTCTGGCGAAAAACTGCGTGTGACACTGATGGCTGCACATGTTCAATCTACGCTTGGTGTGGTCATCGCATACCCTTCTGGAAGGAGAGGCCAAGTCAGGGTGGGGGTTTTCATGCGTAGGCAGACGTGTCGCTGAGAAGCCATGTTGGTAATACAAGTACTCGGACCAAATGTTGGCCTGAGAACACGACATGGGTATGTTGGCTTGAGAGCACAAACATTCTCGATTTGTCGGGGCTAAGTTTGCCGAAGGTCATTGATTTCCTGGGGGTTGATGGCTTGACATGGTGTGCAGCCAGTTGCCGTCTAAATTTGGTCATTGTCTCGTAAAACAAGCAGCATCCAACCATACAGCTTGGATGTTTTTTTTCGTTCCGCTCGGAGCGATGATATGCAAACTATACGAAGCGTCGTTGCTTGGCGAAATGAAACTTAGTTGCCTTAGATTGGACATGATTTCAAGATCCCTCAGTACTTTAACGTGGGGTCTGGGCCTAGAAAAAAAATCGGTCTAAAATGATGACCCCTAACCTTTGAGAGAGGTTTTGAAGCTTTAAATTCCTGGCCCCTAACCTCTGAAGCCGAACTCTCACTTCCAACCACCTTTTTGAATTTGTTTTGCTAATTTCCTGGTGCCCAACGTCCAACATCCAATAAATTTACCCCTCTGATAGCCAAGTAAGAAAATTATTTCCTGGATGCTTGCGTTGGTAACATGCCATATCTCCCCCCCTCAATCTGATACGGAAAAAAATTAATTCCTGGCACCTGACTTCCCGGCTGACAGCTCGCAGTCTTTCAGAGCTTGACCGTGAATGCATACTCGGAAAGGTTTTTTTTTTTCCCGGGGGGGGGGTCGAGTTCGAGTTCGAGTTCGAGTTCGACGCGGCCGCCGCCAGGTCAAAATCGAGTTCGAACTGCTCTGGGGCGAGTTCGAACGCGAGTTCGAACTGTGTCACCGCCAGTTCGAACTCGAGTTCGAGCATGTGGACCGCGAGTCCGGACTCAGAAAGCTTTGTTTTTTTTTCCGAACTCTCACTTCCAACCACCTTTTTGAATTTGTTTTGCTAATTTCCTGGTGCCCAACGTCCAACATCCAATAAATTTACCCCTCTGATAGCCAAGTAAGAAAATTATTTCCTGGATGCTTGCGTTGGTAACATGCCATATCTCCCCCCCTCAATCTGATACGGAAAAAAATTAATTCCTGGCACCTGACTTCCCGGCTGACAGCTCGCAGTCTTTCAGAGCTTGACCGTGAATGCATACTCGGAAAGGTTTTTTTTTTTCTCTCCGGGGGGGGGGTCGAGTTCGAGTTCGAGTTCGAGTTCGACGCGGCCGCCGCCAGGTCAAAATCGAGTTCGAACTGCTCTGGGGCGAGTTCGAAGGCGAGTTCGAACTGTGTCACCGCCAGTTCGAACTGGAGTTCGAGCATGTGGACCGCGAGTCCGGACTCAGAAAGCTTGTTTTTTTTTCCCGGGGGGGGGTGCGAGTTCGAGTTCGAGTTCGAGTTCGACGCGGACGCCGCCAGGTCAAACCCAATAGACCGAATTAGACAAAAAACTACAAAATAGATAGATCGTAAAAATCTATAGATTTCTATCTATTAGACAATTTCGATTTTATCTATTATCTTATTTTTTTCTTGCAAATAGATTATTTTTTTTAAACTATTATAGATAAATCTGTGTTTTTGTCTATATAGAGAGTTTTTTTTAATCTATATAGAGAAAAATCTTGAAAATAGATTAAGCTAAATTTTGTCTATTTTGTTGATCTTTCATGGTTTTGACCATGCCAAAATTCAACCGTTACCTTCGAAGTTTGCTCGTGATTCGTTCGAAGTTTAACTTCGAAGTTTATACGTAGTTTATTCGAAGTTTTTACTTTGGAATCATTTTTGTTAGTTTTTCTCAGACTAAAAACTTTCAAAACAATGAAACACACATGGTTATGTTGTATATGTGAACTTGTTCGATCTGTGTGCTTGCATACATGGCATTTGAACTTTTGCTGTGGCATATCTTTGGGTGGATTCATTCTGCCACAATCGAAGGTTTCACCTTCGCAAGAGGTTACTGTCACAGTAACCCTGCACTGCACAAGGAAGGTCTTGGAAGGTATTCCCCCACAATATTTTTTTAAAGATATTCCGTTATACAGCATCTCTGGGAAAACTCCTTCACACAAGTATCTCTGAAACTTTTCCCTCACAGTGAAACTCACAGGTATCTCCAGGTATTACCTCGCAGTATCTCTCTGGAAGTATTCCCTCACAGTATCTCTCTGTAAGTATTCCCTCACAGTATCTCTGAAAGTATATTTTACCTCGCAGTATCTCTCTGGAAGTATTCCCTCACAGTATCTCTGAAAGTATATTTTACCTCGCAGTATCTCTCTGGAAGTATTCCCTCACAGTATCTCTCTGGAAGTATTCCCTCACAGTATCTCTGAAAGTATATTTTACCTCGCAGTATCTCTCTGGAAGTATTCCCTCACAGTATCTCTGAAAGTATATTTTACCTCGCAGTATCTCTCTGGAAGTATTCCCTCACAGTATCTCTCTGGAAGTATTCCCTCACAGTATCTCTGAAAGTATATTTTATTTCGAAGTATCTCTCTGGAAGTATTCCCTCACAGTATCTCTGAAAGTATATTTTACCTCGCAGTATCTATCTGGAAGTATTCCCTCACAGTATCTCTCTGGAAGTATTCCCTCACAGTATCTCTGAAAGTATATTTTACCTCGCAGTATCTATCTGGAAGTATTCCCTCACAGTATCTCTCTGGAAGTATAACCTCACAGTATCTCTCAAAGTATGTACCTCGCAGTATCTCTCTGGAAGTACTCCCTCACAGTATACCTCTGCAACTCTGCAAATATTCCTTCACTCTGCAAAATTCCTTTTCACAGTATTGTTTGAAAAGGCTTGCCTCGCATAATATGTTTCCCAGTATATTCCCTCAGTATATCTTACCAGTAAAATTTTCAGGTATTTCTCTCAAAACATGAAACAACACCCAAGCAATCTATTTCATTTTTCCCTTAAAACGAAAACCGCTGTAAGTGTACATGTTCTGAAAAATATGCCTGCCTCAATATAAATTCACCAGATGAACATTATATTCCATATGGGCGTGACTTGGAGACTTTTAGCAAAACACTTGCATGCAGTTTCGTCATGTTCACGGCGCGGTTAAATCTGAAAATAAATAAGTTGGAGATTAAACTATATATAATTTCAACAAAATTTCATCTCAGATAATAGAGATGGGACCTTGTAAGAATCAGTGCACCATATGACAAACCCTCAATGAACCTTATGGGCGCATTGTCAGTGTACAAGTTACCACGTGAGAGACCTGGAGTGACCATGAGAGTCCAACCTCTTTGCATACCCCAGATGTCTCCTTGTTTTCACACATGTTCATGACAGTGAAGGCGATCTTGTGAGACTACGTGCACCACATGAGAGACCCAACTATGAGCGCGATGTGAATTTACAAGTTACCATGAGAGACTTTGAGTGATCTGGAGAGTCATTACATCTGTTTTGAGTTTGTCATTATAAGGGTTATGGGAAAATGTTTTGTGATGAATCATGCTGTGGACAGTTTCAGTGTAGCAAAGAGATTACATGAACGTGTTGTCATCAAAAATGCAAATATTGTCATTTTTCCACTGTCAAGAGCTGTTGAGAGTTCATGAAAATTGTTCTAAATGCACTGCATGACTTAGCATTTTTACCGGAAGCATTTTCCATTTTCAATATACCCACATAGACAGAGGGTAGATTTGTTTGCCTCCCACCTCGCTTCCCGCAATGGTGTGGATGAAAGATGACATGAAGTTTGTGAAGAAGAAACCAAAAAGCTTCAAGGCTGTGTATGAGGACAACCCCAAGGGCCCTACTGCTTTGAAGCATCCCTTGATGCCATGGCCTCCTGGAACCGCCAAAGGAGAGTCCAAGGGCCGAAAGCAGGACCATACGAAGAAGGTCAACAAGAAGAATGACAACATGGATGAGAATACTGTGCAGTACAGTGTGGACAGCGCAGGCGTCCCATACCCAAGAAGCTTGTGGGAAGCTACTGTGGAGTACCACGACTACGTGCAGTGGAATGAATCTTTTGGCGTGCCAGTTGACACTTTCGATGTCTTCTTGAACGACTACCCCAAGGCAGTGAAAGACAATATTATGAAAGAGTATGCCGAGGACTCTAAAAAATGAGGTGGCCAGCAACAAGAACATGGCCGTTTTGACTTCATATAGTCATAGCTTTGGAAAACTCTAGAGTCGTGACCATGTCCAAATGGAAAGACTTGTGATGCGATGCCATGGTGAAAATGAAACCGGAGATGATGCCAAGCTTCAGGGTTTTCAGGAAATGATACCATCCAGTTGTGAAACCAACAAGGAATTCAAGTACACATGAAACGATACTTTTACATGTATTTTTGAAATAATGTTCTTCTAAATGGAATCCCACCAACGGTGTTTTTGGAGAAAGAAACTTGTGTCAGTTGCTTGCGTACTCTGAGAGTTTGTACTGTGAGAGTTAATTTGCTTTTGCACTTTGAGAGTCGCTTTGAAACGAGTTTCTGGTGAGGGATCATTTTGTATATAGGTGTGATCAAACATCGATATAGGTGTGATCAAACAGAGCTATTTGCTGAACGACATTTGAAAGATATACATCTTTTTCACAGACCATTGGTCCAAGCTATGGTGTATAGACAAGATGCTGTCGCAGACTCCGAAACGTTTAGTCGCAGATCCCTTGGTGGGGGTAGCAGACCTGATGCAGCCAGTAGAAAATCTGCTGCAACGAGAGAAAGGGATCAACCTCGCAAAGTACATCCAGCCGCCGTCTGGTGTTTCTTGGAAAAGTGCTGTTCCCGTTGAGTGGCTCTGCAAACACCAGGAGCTCTTGACGGACTACATCAACATCTCAAAGAACACCATCATCAGTGGCAAAAAGCACAAGTTAGCCCTTGAGAAGCTTCATCATCAGCATGACATACTTGGAGGTCGCAAGTCCACTCAAGATGCCGTGGACTACGTGGACGACACCATCCGCATGGCTTTAAGCCATTTGCGCCAGATGTGCCAAGTGGTTCAGAAAAAGGATACGACGTACCGAAAATGCAGTCCAGCGATGCAAGAAACGTTGGAAAAGTTGCTGGTGAAAATCGACTTTGGCCCGCAAGAATCCTGTACGGACATGGTCCCCTACGATGGCGATGCCCGTGGAGGTGACCAAGGGCAAGGTAGACCGAGTTTTTCGAGGGCAGGGAGCTCAAGGGATGATTTGGGCGCCTCAGGTGGCAATGCTTTGGCGTCAGGGCCAAATAGGAACAGTGAGGTGGAGATCGGAGAGAATGTGAAGTTGAGAATCTTTGGAGAGAAGCCTGAAAGTGTTTTTGACAGGATCTTGAGCAAGAAGCCGAGCGACGCAACAACTCCAACGAAGAAGTTGACCCAGAAGAAGAAAGAGGACACGCCCAGTCCTGGAGACCCCTTTGTCTGCAGCTTGGAGAAATTACCTGGAGATGATGATCTTTTGAAAAAGGCAGCAGAGGTGCCACCTCTTACCAAGGGTGGAAAGTCTCAGCAGCAGAGGCTAAATTCAGCAAAAAAGATGAAAAGGCCAGCAGCATCCAAGCCAGGAAAGGAGGAGAAGAAGTGCAAGAAGCAGAAGACCCTTGACCACACCCAGGGTGAGGACAAGGAGGATGAATGCCCACCTCAGAATGCGAAGAGGCCGGCTGCTTCCACGAAGATGCAGAAAACAAAAAACGATAGCGAGAAGAAAGGCAAAAAGAAGATGGGCCCACCTTCCGACCAGCTGGACCCTAGCAAGCCAGCAGATCGTGCGATTTTGAGGAGAAGAGCAGATTCAGATGCCTGGCACAACACCTTCAAGCAAGAATTCGCCAAGAATGAAGATGAGGACAAAAGCAAGGAGTTGGCAAGAGCAGCTGCAAGGAAGGCAAGAGAAGAGTTTGATCGAAAGCATCCAAAGCAACCAGCGACTTCAAAGGCCAAGGCAAAGGCAAGCCCGAATACGAAGAAAAAGGTTCAGGCAAAGTCGAAGGCAAACAAGAAGGAGAAGGAGATCACACCGGCAGAGGATATCAACGTTCAGCCTCCAGATGTTTCACAGGAGAAGACTTCATCGACGGGCCCACAGGACATCGACTAAACCTCATGCTCCATGAGGGTAGATACAGATGGTAGACCGGACCAATGGTACATACAGTGTGCTTTGGGTGTGAGCCTCTAAAAGGGAGCTCTTTGAACCCACCCTTGGCATATTGACAAATCAATTGGGGTTTTGACTTGCGGTGCAGATCACGACAAAAAGGTGCTTTTTTACGATCACTTTTAGAACCTTTCACGAATACACGCAGTGGCATCCAATGCATAGGCATACCAAGTGCAAAAGTAACCTGTGATGCAAATAGATATATCTATATCTTTCAGACCAAACGGAAATTGTACATGACATATAGTTTCGAACCTTGAGGATGAACCATGAGAGTGAGAGTGTGACGAGTTTAGCAACTTTGAGAGATGCGGATGTTTTGCAATATACGATTTCAATTTTGTTGGAAATGTTCCTGAATCGCTGCAGTGTTCAAAGAGGCAACAAAAAACTCAGTTTTTTAGCGACAGCAAAATGCGGTTTCATGTACATGGCAAACTATGGCAACAAAACAGACACACGATTCCCTCCAAACATGGTTCATTTTCCACCATCTTATTCAGCATCAACAGAGCATATAGGTGAGAAGCAAACATATATTGACTTCTTTTAGATGTGACACACCCATAATCAATATTTGCCATGTAGTACAAAACAAAGTTTTTATTTTGGCAGCAAAGAGTTAGCAGAAGCATGGAGCATCCTCCTCGTTTGTTCCTGGGCAACATTCTTTGGAACACCACGCAGAACCAGATTCAACAAGTGCTGGACAAGTACAAGGTTGGCCAGGGGGTCCAGCACATCCATATCCCTAGAAAGGGAAATGTGATCGATGGGAAGCAGCACACGATCGCCTTTGTCACTTATGAAGAGAAGGAGCAAGTGGAAGAAGCTATTAGTCTCCTACATGATCGCATTCTGGAGGGTGTCAGCACTTACCCAGTGTCTGCCATGCACGCCAGAAGCAGGCATGAAGGAAAACAGTACCCGCAATTTCCAAAGACTACCAGTCAAAGCGGACCTGGAACACAAGACAGGGGGAATCAAACTGTACCTGTCAGACAAGAAGTCGCTCATGAAGGAGTTCCCCATCAACGCCAAGAACAGAAACCGTTTGTGCTCCCCAGAGCCTTCCAGCAAGGGTTGGGGCAAAGCCATGCTTTCAAGCAAACATGGCAAACGCTGCAACCTAGCCAACCCTGCCAGCATGGATTCCAGCAGCCTGGCCCCAGTCTGTTTGGTGGACCTTTTCAGTCTGGTGGGCACAGTTGCGCACCTGTGCATTCTGCCCAGCCAATGCATCATGGGGCAGCCTTTGAACCTATGATGGCATTTGGACAACATGTCCCTGGCCATTTTGGATCCCACCAAGTGCACCATGGTACCATGCCGCCCTGGAGGAATCCACCAGGCGCCACTTGCAAGGCGAAAAGCGTAGTTTCTCCAAAGCCGAAGCCAACGAGTCGAGTTCCAAGTGTCGATGAAAACGAGCAAGCCTTTGAGGAAAACCAGTGGTACCGTGCGCAGGATCAAAAGAAACCTGATACCAGCTCGGAGACAGAGCCTCCCACCTCTCCCACTGAGAAGAAAAAAAAGCAGCCCAGCCGGGGACGCATAGCAAGGCCCAAGAAGAAGCTTCCCCAACCTCGTAAGCCGGTGAAGATCGAACCACCTGAAGAGCCTGATTTTTTTGGACTAGAAGAGGCGAAGGAAACAAAATCTAACAGTACTACTAGCCCTGCCGATGCATCAGAAGATCCATATCAGGACTTGACACTGGGCAAGGAGTTGCTCATGGCTTTCAAAACAGTAGACAAGGAAGAGAAGAAGAAAAAAGGATCCAAGAAGCCCTCTGGCTCCACAAGCAGCAGTTCTCGAGAGAAAAGCAGAACAAGATCGAGGAAGAGAAAGGACAAGGGCAGAAGGAAAGACAAGTCATCTCAAAGGCGTCCCAAAAGAAGAAGAGGCCATGAGAGAAGAAGGACAAGATCCACTTCGAGCTCGAGCGACTGGACAACTTCTGCAGGACGCAAGCGTCGTCGCAGAAGGTAGTTTCACTACCACAGGGTTTCAACGTGCAGTACGAGCATGAGCGAGAAAAAAGTTGGAGCTATCACTTGACATGAATGTTCACATAGATGTCATTAAAACAGGAATAAGTTTTCTTTCCATGACAGTTGCAAGACATGGCAATATGAAACAAACAGAGATACGCTTTGAATCACCATGTCAGATGTGTCAAGCTGAGAGGTAGAAACTGTGAGAGAGACTGAGAGAGACGGCTTTCAAGTTTAAAGATGTTTAAAGAATGTTTTGAAACGTAAGTGACATTGGATCGCATTTCATTTATTCTTCTCGACATAAGCCGAAGGAGTAATGATCAAATAAGTCTCTGTTTAAAAGGTAATGTTGCAAAATTGATGCTCTGAAAACATCAGCTACCATTTCACCTGTGTCGACACTTCACCAAAAACAACGACATGTAAAAACAACAGACAATAAACTCTCATGGTAAACTCTCACAGTTGTTCATGGTGCAAGCACTCTCATAGTAAACTACCACATAGTAAATTCCCCTGGTGAACTCTCATGGTAAACTCTCATGGTAAACTCTAGAGTAAACTCTCACAGGATATATTCTCGTATAAAACACTAATAGTAAACTTTGAGTAGCAAACTCTCGTAGTGAACTCTCAGAGTTAACTGTGACAGAAAACTTTCATAGCAAACACTTATATAGTAACCTCTCAAGCCATCAGGGCCGCCAAACAAACATTCCTTTTTTCCTCTGTGTTCTTGCCAAAACGCATATGCGTCATGTCATGATGCAACACTCACGGTCTCAAAAGTCATGCTTGGTCACTCACGTCTTGTGACAAACATATTTTTTCTGTTTTTGATGTGCTATATTATAGGAAAAATCGCAAACGTTGAAAAATGCTACAATGTTCATGCTGGTCGAATTCCAAGATGAGGTGCTTTTTGGTACACTTGCAAGAGAGACTGTGAGAGAGTTCAAATACTTTGAGAGTTTGATTGTACATGGCAAGCCTCACTTTTTACAGACTGGTCGCACATAGCTGTTTTATCGAAACACAAAGGGGCGTACTCCGTTCGTGACCTTCCACCCATGGCGTCCCAAAGTTCCTTGATGCGTTTCAAGTCCACCTGCGACGGTTGGAACCCAGCTGACTCCCAAGAAGTTCCAGATTCACAAGAAGCTGAGAAAGGTGACACGGACTCAGAGAAGACCCTTTGCCTGGATGACTTCGCAGAGACTGAGGAGAAAGAAGGTGGGCTCACCCAACAAGCTACACCTGACGACTTCAAGGAGATGAAGCCTGCCGAAGAAGTTACACCTGACCTGAGCAAGGAGACAGGAGAGTTCTTTGGGCGCAAAATGAAGGTGGCTTATGGTCCAGGGTATGGACCTGGGTCTTTGGATGGAGCCATGCTGCAAACTCTTCTGGGTGGCCTCATGGATAAGACGAGGCTGAAGAACTATGTGGGTGGATTCGAGGAGCATCTGGCTGAAGCTGCCGCATCATCGAGCCAGAAGACTCCTGATCAGACTCGTGAGAAGACTCCTGAGAAGAAGCCAGCAGGAAAGAGTGTACGCAAGAAGAAGGGAACTTCGTCCAAGGGTAAAACACCCAAGAAGTGATCTCTGAAGCAACAACAGAGTATCTCACATTTTGTTGAGCAGCAGCTTGATGAAGCTGGATTTTTTGTGATCGTGTTCATTGCCGAGAAAACAAGCGCAATGTACTGAGCAGTTTTCATACTTTGCTGGCTTACTGACTTCGAAGTGTCTAAGTAGTTTCGAACAAACTTCGACTTTGTTACATATGGCCAAACGCCATTGAGCCATTGACAGGTTTAGACCAATTTTGCTGAAATGGCAAATAGACTTGACATAGAAATGATCAGATCTAGCGCAGAGTGCCGACAGAGATTTGGAAAAAAGGTGCGTCTCACTTCTTGAACACAATCATGTACTTTGAGAACATGTCCACAGCACTTCGAAGTTTCTAAGAAGTTTCGAAGAAACTTCGAAGCTATGACTTAGAAGTTTGTTCGAAGTTTATTCGTAGTTTCCAATGAAACTTCGTACAAACTTCGAAGATATGTTGATAAAACACTGTAAATACCAATATATTTGATAATGAAACTTCGAAGTTGGACTTCGAAGTTTCCATCATAAACTTCGAATTGCCCTTTCGAAGTTTCGAAGAAGTTTCGAACAAACTTCGAAGCTTACATTTGACTGCTGTTTTTGGCCACTGTCGCACAATCAACATTTTCAATCAGTTTCGTTCAGAAACTTGTCATTTGTTTTGACTCCACAAGACGTTTTCACAACTTGTCGGATCTACTAACCGCAGAATTTTCTTTCCAGCCACTTATAGATACATTCATAGGTTTCGACTTCTGTGAAGAGCTGTGTGCTTGCAATGCCGGTTTTGAAACGACCATCATCGAATTCTTCGGCAATGCCCAAAAAGAAGCCAGCCAAGGAGACAATCCCAGGAACAGTTGCAAGTCTCAGGAAGGGGATTCAAAATGATGATGACAATGCTGATGGTGATGAAGGACAGCGGGACAAGTTGAAGGCTGAGAAGTGGGCAAGACTTCGTTCCACTGGCGCACTTCCGGAGTACTTGCTGCAGCTGTACGACCAGGAGTCAAAGCAATCACCGCTGGGGAAGCGGGCATTTCAAACCACAATCATAAACAAACTCTTCAAGAAGGTCAACGGTGCCTGGCAATTGGACACGAGTGACGCCCAATTCAAGGATTACAAATCTCTCTACGAGCGCCGCTACTCGAAAGAGGAGAACGAAGCGATGCCGAAATCGTTGATTGTGGGCCTCTATTATCAGGGGGACGAGCAGAAATTTAACCGAGCTTTGGAATTGGGCGAACTGCAGCATGTCAAAGATGACGGCGGTGTGCGGTTCTACTCATACAAGAAGCTCACCTCTGCAGTTGAGAAGGGCAGTGATCAGAGGCTCGAAGCCATTGGGACGAAGAAAGGCAAACTTCAAGAGTTTCATGAGATTGGGAATCTTTTGTCCAAGCTGAGCTGGACGTTTCGCAAGAAGCCAGGAGATCAGAAGGAACTTACTGCTGGGAGCCTCCCCACTAGCTACGAGGCCTTGATCAAAAAAGCACATGGAGCTTGTGACAAGTTGTCGAAGGACACGCTCAAACTTCAGAAAGAGGTGGGGCATGAGCGCAAAGAGATCATGAAGGATGGATACAAGTCCATGACTGCTCACTTGGCCACTTTGGATCACATGAAAAACTTTGTGGAAATGCCAGATGGCACGAAGCTCACCAGCACGGTTTTCGAATCAGCTCTTGGAGATATCGCTTCTTCGGTTGACCAGCTGAACACGAAGATTGAGGAGATCAAAGGCTACATGAAGTCCAAGGCCAAGTGAGTCTTGATTCAAGTCTGTGTGAGATATCCACAGAAAATTTCTCAAGGGCCTGAATACAAATGTTTGAGTATGTGTGTGAAAACCACATAAATTTTGTGTATCTGGCCGTCAACGGTGAGTCAAATGCGATGGGGAAAACAGTGCAAATGCGTGACAGTTTTTCTGTATATGCTTTGAAAACAAGTTCTTGTCAGAGAAACACTCTGTGAAACATGTGTGTTCATGCTTTTTTTACAATTAAATTGGGACCCAAGGTGTGGTGGTATTTACAGTTGTTTAGTTTTGTATATAGTTTGCCTGGTTCTAGTGTTTGAAAAGAACTTTGAGATAACCATGTGGGAAAACGTTGTGTCAGACTTTGAGAGAACTTTGAGGGATCTTTGAAAGAACCCTGAGAGAACCTTGAGAGGAAACCCCGAGAGAACTCTGAGAGAACTTTGATAGAACATTGTGACAGGACTTGGACGGACTACTTTGATAGAACATTGTGACAGGACTTGGACGGACTCTCTCTCTCTCTCTTTCTCTCTTTCTCTCTTTCTCTTACACATTTCTGACTGATGTCTTCTCATGCAACAAATTTCATGTACACAAATTACTTTGATGCCCTCTGTGCAGTCGTACTGTCTAACCGTGAGCGAGTGAGAGTAAGATTTGGAGTGAGAGTGGGTTACTTTGAGAGAGGAAAGAGATGGTTTACGGGTATCACACTGTGTGACGAATCTTGTCTAAAACCTTCCATTTTTAAACATCCAGATGCTGAAACAAAAGAACACAGTATCAGAATAGTGAATTATGATCCTGGAAATCGATTATCGAAAGACTTTTTCAAACATGTTCAAACAGTTCTAACACATGTATACTGTGCCATTGGTGACGTAGCATTTTCCTCATATCAATTTCAAACCCTTTCGTGTAGTTGTGGACTGTCACTTGAACCTGCGGCCATGGAGACCTTCCAGCTGAAGAACCTGAACCCTGCGCAGCTGTTTCAGCTGTTGTTCCTCACCGTGCTGGAGCTGGCAGAGCGCTTCCAGATCAACCTGAGGGGGCGGCCGCGTGTTTTCATGCGGGAAGAACCTGATGAGGAAAACCCACCAGAAGCTGTCCAGCCACCACCGGTGCCAGCTCATGGGCCAGTACGTGCTCGCAGATGCCAGAGTGCCTGCCGCTTCTGCGTGCAAGGCTGCGACCGAACGAAGCCCTACCACAAGCATCATGCTTGCCAAGGACATGCCCACCTGAGGTTTTGAACTTTGAACAAGGTTCCACAGCAGTACAATAGATTATACAGTATTTAGCAATTCATGCAAAGTTCCAACCTTGAACCTTACAGATCTTCAGGGAATTGTGGAGCGCAGAGAAGAAAAAAGGCGGTCGCATCCTAGAGAAAGTCGAGAAGTTTTGGGTTGAAGTTGGTTCACTGTGAGAGAACTTTGAGAGAGGTTGTCGTGTTGTGACCTGGTTTTTTTTGAGAGAGGTTGTCGTGTTGTGACCTGGTTTTTTTTGAGAGAGGTTGTCGTGTTGTGACCTGGTTTTACTTTGAGAGAACTTTGAGAGATACTATATCGTGTTGTGACCTGGTTTTGCTTTGAGAGAACTTTGAGAGAGGTTGTCGTGTTGTGACCTGGTTTTACTTTGAGAGAACTTTGAGAGAGGTTGGACTTGTGTAGAAGGAAAATGTCCGAAAGTTCTAGGTTTGAAGGCTGTCAAGATGGTTGCACGCTGACTCTCAAAGTGAACATCAACAACACTCTCATGGTTAGGACACACTCTCATGGTCGCCAAAAAAAACAGGAACAAAATGTGATATCCACTTTCTCGACCCCGTATGCAATGTTTTTATTTTCAGATCAGAAGAACAAATAAATATGTCGTATAAATATCCAAACCTTTCAACACCATCATAGAGTATAAGAAGAGTTTCTTGTCAGGGCCACAGCTGTGCACCCCATATCGACATACATCTGAATTAGATCTTTGCTTAGCACCGCCATGGTGGCGCACATGTCTCGAAAACGTGATCGTTCTGGTGGCCAGAGGCAAAGACTGCGACGCATGTTGCAGGAAGAACAGCTGAACTGCCAGAGCGTTCTCTGTACTTGGTTGTTGTCAATGTTTGCATGGGGACACTTTAGCGTGCAACGAGTACAAAAGATCAGTGCTTTGGTTATGAAAGATTTGAAGAGTGCTGAGACTTCTGAAACAATCTGGAATGACTTGGAGACATTATCCAAGTTAGGAACTGAAGGTCTGTACGCGAACAAGATGCACACGGAGCTCATGGGCAAATGCAAAGGCTTGTCTAACCTACCGGAGCCTTACCCAGTGGATATCCAATATGCTCCGCCTTTGGGCATGCAGAAACAGGATGTTTTTCTTCCTCATGAAGTCTTCAGCGCAATTTATCACAAGTATCCACAAACATGGCAAAAAACGATGGTACCGTCGCAGGCTCACTTGGAAAGGTTCTGGACAGTCACCGATGGCCATCCAACCTTGGTTAATTCCCCACTGAAAGAATGTCCTTCTTACAAAACGAAAACTGTACCTATCCTGCTGCACGGGGACGGGGTTCCAATCGTCGGAATTGGAAAGGGATGGTCCAAGATTGCAACTGTGTTTAGCTGGGCCAGCATGCTTACATCTTCAGGGACCAAGGAGTCCATGAAATTTATATGGGGAGCTTTCGACAAACTCTGCAAAAAGGATGGTGAGGGAACTGATGGTACATTTTCAACATTTTTCAAAGTTCTAGTCTGGTCGCTGCAGTCTTTGTATTCGGGTAAGTGGCCCCATCGGGACCACAATGGACACTTATTTCCTTCATCTTCCTGGCGGGGAAAGTTGGCAGGTCAAGATCTGGCGGCAGGTTTCACTGGTTATCTTTTCTCTGTCATTGGAGACATGGATTATTTTTCATCGATACTACAGCTTCCTCACTTTAGCTGGGCAAAGGGGCCGTGTGCACTTTGCAAATGTACCCTTGGTGGAGTGACCACATGGACAGACTTTAGAAAGACTGCGGCTTGGCTAGGTACTCGGTGGAGCAAAGCCGACTGGTTTAATTTTGAGGCTCGCTCCATGAACCCTTTATTCAACGAATTACCTGGGCAATCTTGTCACACTGTGTCGCTCGACCTGATGCATTGCAAGTACTTGGGCCACGATATGTATTTCTTTGGATCAGTTCTCACACTACTATGCCAGTACCTCTTGCCTGGAAGCGAAGAACAGAATTTGAAAAGATGCTGGGACTTTTTGAAGCGATTCTACAAGGAGCATTCCATTCCTTCGCCTTATCGATATCTGACTAAGATATCTATGTTCATACGCAAAAAGAAGTTTCCCAAACTACGGGGCAAAGCGTCGGAGGTGCGACACCTAGCAAAACCACTATCAGCATTGTGGGCTCATTTCATGAATAAGAACGTGGAGACCCACAGACAAATCGATTTATATCTCAGACTAAATATCCAGTTTGAGAACATTTTGGACGACCACAAGGATGACTATGCCTTACCCCTTGCTGCCTACACTGCCTTTATGAATGCGGCATTTTCTATGATGCAACTGTGCTCATCACTGGCAGACCATTTTATTCAAGAGGGTATACCCATGTTCGACATGACGTCGAAGGCGCATGCTGTCCTGGAGATTGCAATTCTCAGTCGTCACATAAACCCGAGAACTACTTGGTGCTTCCGAGGAGAAGACATGATGCAGAAAAGTCAAGTTTTGCTACAAAGTTGCGTTCGAGGCAACAACGGAGCCCTTTGCTTCAGGAAGATGCTTGCCCACTATAGATTGGGTTTACACATGCTTTTCACTGAGCACAAAGATTGAAAAAGTGACAAAAAACATGGCTTGGTTGTGATGGGACTCTATATGCTGGCGAGAAACTTGTGAACACAGAGAGAAATTTGTCGTATACATACATATCTATATATATATACTTGTTTATTGATTTATTGTGCATTCATTCGTTTATTTGTTTATATCACAACACTAGATAGATTTCTCCTATGTATATCTACATATTTATATTGCAGGTTGTTTATGTCTTTAACTTTTAGGATATGACATGGTTCTTTTGGGATCACTCTCAACGGAGACACGCAGTCACACTTAGAGAGAGAGAGACCTGGAGAGTCATGAGATACTTGGAGAGAGATGGTTCTTCGATGTGGTGTGAGTGTGTTTTCTCTCTCTGTCAGAATTCGTTTATCAAAGGGCCTTTGGCGCCATCCCGACACGTCTTCCTGAGACTTTTGTGATCTCCCGAGCTCAAGCCATGGACGTGCTTTGCGACCGCGATGAGTCCCCGTGGTTCAGGGTCCTTTCAGGAATGGTGTTCCTTATCAATGCTGGCTATAGGGATCGATTTTTCTTATCCCTCATGGACTTGCACCTTGGTGAAAAATAGTACTTGTCTTACTTTTCTTTCTTTTTGGAGTGGATGCTCGATTAAAAGGGTTTTGCCAAACACTCTTGACGTGCAGGCACAAGTTTTACAATGGCTGTCCATGGCAACGAAAGGAGGACCATTCCGCAGGGTTCCACGAACGTTCTCGCTTTCAGTGGGGAAGTTGGGAAATCAAGGCAAGGGGAGTTCAAACATATTTGTTGGGTCTAGGGCATAGAGAATCTAAAGTGTTTTCAAGTTTAGGTTTTGTATTAAACACAAAAAAAACATTGTGGTAAACACCTTCGTTGAATCTGTTGGTGTCCAACCTTGCTGCCAGACCATGAATGGCCTTGTGGTTCCTCGATGGGATCTTTGGATGTCGAACCGTGGCAAAGCTCGAGACTTTTTCGAAAGTTGGCTACATGTGCAGATGCGAGACTCTCCAGGCAGCGACCTCACCTACCAAGTATTGGTCTTCTTGGATCGGCTCTTCATGGCAGGCTTGAAGCTATATGGTGAAGACCACCGAGATGTCTTTGAAAATCCTGAAGACTTCTTTGTGCGAATGCTGCGACATGAAGGGCAACTTGGATACACCATATGAGATTACATTCTTCATCTTTTGATAGATAGATAGATAGATATATATATATGTGTATTTTTACGTGGTTTTGTTGGATGCAGAGAAAACTATACAATCACCTGACCTCCATACTTTTTGAAAAACATTATGGATGTGTTTTTTGTTTCACTGAGAGGTGTTTCCCTGAATCCAATGAGGTACCGTGTCGAAGATCAGAAAATATGGCTTGTTGACGAGAGCAGCGGCTGGTGGGAGGAGAAAAAGCCATGTGGTCTAAATTTGAAGGAAGCGTTTGACTTGTTGCACGATGTGAAACTAAAAGACATCATGCAGCAGTGGGTTGAACCCAATGCTCCTTCTTTGCAATGGCAATAATGAGAAGTATATACGGAACATGTGCAATTTATGTTTACAAAATATTTCAGCTGGACTGAAACACATGAACACCCACATATATATGTATATTACGATCCTATACAGTATATGAATAATTTCATGATGTTATCATGTGAGAGGAGTGTCAGAATATACAAAAAAAATCATTGCCTTTGCCGCATATAAGCTTTTTTGCTTTTGAATTTTGGCCGGCCTTCACCCGAAAAACTTCGGTGTTGTGGCAGAGCTGAGACTAGGAATTGTCTAGTCTGGTAAAGATCTGAAGGATCCCTTTTTAGGACCCACAGCTGTTTACAGGACTTGGACTTTTGGATGTGTCCAAATCTGTACTATGTAGGAATAGGCACGGAGACAAACCGATCTCTGGCTCAAAAAGGAAAGCAGTGCTCTTGTGTGTGAGGGGAATGGGAACGAATTTGGGCGAGAACCCTGAGAGAAAACTTTGAGAGAACTTCGAGAGAACTTTGAGAGATTTCTTGGACATGTGTTTTTTGAGAGAGATGATATTTAATGTTGTTTTTGGGAGATATGATATATTTAGAAAGAAAGTATGTTCATTGGATTTCACTGAATACAGCTACGATGTGAACAATGCAAATATTCATTTGGTAATCATACCTTCCTAACTATTTCGATGACACTCTCACAGTCAACTCTCATGGTAAACTCAAACAGTCAACTCTCATGGTAAACTCCTACAATCAACTGTCATGGTAAACTCTCACAGTGAACTCTCATGGTAAACTCTTACAATCAACTCTCATGGTAAACTCTCACAATCAACTCTCATGGTAAACTCTCACAGTCAACTCTCATGGTAAACTCAAACAGTCAACTCTCATGGTAAACTCAAACAGTCAACTCTCATGGTAAACTCCTACAATCAACTGTCATGGTAAACTCTCACAGTGAACTCTCATGGTAAACTCTTACAATCAACTCTCATGGTAAACTCTCACAATCAACTCTCATGGTAAACTCTAACAGTCAACTCTCATGGTAAACTCTCACAGTGAACTCTCATGGTAAACTCTTATACAATCAACTCTCATGGTAAATTCACAGTCAGCTCTCTCATGGTAAACTCTCACAGTCAACTCTCATGGTAAACTCTTACAAAATCAACTCTCATGGTAAACTCACAGTCAGCTTTCATGGTAAACTCTTACAATCAACCCAAATGGTAAAGTCTCACAGAATCAACTCCCATGGTAAACTCTCACAGAGTCAACTCTCATGGTAAACTCTCACAGTCAACTCTCATGGTAAACTCTCATATATTTTGCACTCATATATAGAAAACGCTCAATCCATCAATGCCCCAAGCAAATGAACATGTTTCTCTTTCTCTTCATGTCTGATACAAGTTTTCTCTCAAAATGATAAGTGGGGACAGATCAAAAAAACTATCAGAGGATGTATACACCCAAAAAGAGATGCCCCAACAAAGGTATACTGTGAGATATACCATGTATGGTGCTGTGCATTTACTGTGAGAGACCACATGTTGATAACATACTGTGAGAGATTTTGAATTATGAGGAATGCCGAGAGAGAGGGAGAGAGAGAGAGAACCACTATGTAGCAAAAGAGACATTGCCTGTAGTATCTTGACCGTTCGTGTTCTAATGCATATATAATATATTGATGCATGCACTGAATCAAACTGGAACATGTTTACATGACATTGTGTGGTCAGAGCCAATGACAGTTTTTATGATCAAAACATCAAAATGCATCAATATATATGTATATATATTTATCACAACTTATTGCATGATCGTGTGTGTCCACAAAACTAAGAGGCAAATTATCTGTCAAATTTTGATATAAAACTCCGAAGCCAACTTCGAAGTTTTATATCGTGCCCCAGGTGTGACCCCGGAGTTCGTTCGAAGTTTTACTGTCAAAAATAGATATCTATTTCGGCAAATTCCATCTATTTATAGATATCTATTTCGGCAAAATTTATCTATATAGGTAACTCTAAATCTAACTATTTTTTTGAAAATAGACAAGTCAAAATAGATAGATTTCCAGAAAATAGTTTGCAAAAAATCTATCTATTTTGTAGTTTTTAAATAGTCTAAAATAGTTATCTAAAAAAATATCTTATATATAAAAATCTAGGAAATAGTCAAAATCCTAGAATAGATAGGATTTTGTCTAATTCGGTCTATTGGGAAATCGAGTTCGAACTGCTCTGGGGCGAGTTCGAACGCGAGTTCGAACTGTGTCACCGCCAGTTCGAACTCGAGTTCGAGCATGTGGACCGCGAGTCCGGACTCAGAAAGCTTTGTTTTTTTTTCCGAACTCTCACTTCCAACCACCTTTTTGAATTTGTTTTGCTAATTTCCTGGTGCCCAACGTCCAACATCCAATAAATTTACCCCTCTGATAGCCAAGTAAGAAAATTATTTCCTGGATGCTTGCGTTGGTAACATGCCATATCTCCCCCCCTCAATCTGATACGGAAAAAAATTAATTCCTGGCACCTGACTTCCCGGCTGACAGCTCGCAGTCTTTCAGAGCTTGACCGTGAATGCATACTCGGAAAGGTTTTTTTTTTCCCTCCGGGGGGGGGGCGAGTTCGAGTTCGAGTTCGACGCGGCCGCCGCCAGGTCAAAATCGAGTTCGAACTGCTCTGGGGCGAGTTCGAACGCGAGTTCGAACTGTGTCACCGCCAGTTCGAACTCGAGTTCGAGCATGTGGACCGCGAGTCCGGACTCAGAAAGCTTGTTTTTTTTTCCGAACTCTCACTTCCAACCACCTTTTTGAATTTGTTTTGCTAATTTCCTGGTGCCCAACGTCCAACATCCAATAAATTTACCCCTCTGATAGCCAAGTAAGAAAATTATTTCCTGGATGCTTGCGTTGGTAACATGCCATATCTCCCCCCCTCAATCTGATACGGAAAAAAATTAATTCCTGGCACCTGACTTCCCGGCTGACAGCTCGCAGTCTTTCAGAGCTTGACCGTGAATGCATACTCGGAAAGGTTTTTTTTTTTCCCCTCCGGGGGGGGGGCGAGTTCGAGTTCGAGTTCGACGCGGCCGCCGCCAGGTCAAAATCGAGTTCGAACTGCTCTGGGGCGAGTTCGACCGCGAGTTCGAACTGTGTCACCGCCAGTTCGAACTCGAGTTCGAGCATGTGGACCGCGAGTCCGGACTCAGAAAGCTTGTTTTTTTTTCCGAACTCTCACTTCCAACCACCTTTTGAATTTGTTTTGCTAATTTCCTGGTGCCCAACGTCCAACATCCAATAAATTTACCCCTCTGATAGCCAAGTAAGAAAATTATTTCCTGGATGCTTGCGTTGGTAACATGCCATATCTCCCCCCCTCAATCTGATACGGAAAAAAAAATAATTCCTGGCACCTGACTTCCCGGCTGACAGCTCGCAGTCTTTCAGAGCTTGACCGTGAATGCATACTCGGAAAGGTTTGTTTTTTTTCCCTCCGGGGGGGGAGGCGAGTTCGAGTTCGAGTTCGAGTTCGACGCGGCCGCCGCCAGGTCAAAATCGAGTTCGAACTGCTCTGGGGCGAGTTCGAACGCGAGTTCGAACTGTGTCACCGCCAGTTCGAACTCGAGTTCGAGCATGTGGACCGCGAGTCCGGACTCAGAAAGCTTGGTTTTTTTTTCCGGGGGGGGGGAGTTCGAGTTCGAGTTCGAGTTCGAGCGGGGCTCACTATGAACGGTCGGGTGGTTTGAAAACTGATTTCCCCCCAGTAAACAAGCATATGTAGCTAGGGAAAATGGCCGGTTTAGTCGGATGATCTACCCCCTATTCTAGTGATGATGATTTTCCATTGCTATGTTCAAACATAGTATGTATATATATATATATTTATATAGTATAATTATTATTATTACTATTATTATTATCATTATTATTAACAATATTATTAATATTATTACTATTAATATTATTACTTTTTTGTTATTATTATTATTACTATGCATTTATTTATTTAGTATTTATTCATGTATTTATGTTTGTGTATTTATTCATTTGTTTATTTATTTGTTTTTTATTAATGTGTGTTTTATATGTGTATTTATATTATGTTGCTAAAGGTAGCTATTTAAGTGGCTATCCCCTATAAATCCATTGAACATAGGATAACCAATTGATGATGTAGATATTTGCAAAATATGATAGATATCCCCTTTAATATTTGATGCATCCCCGAACATTTGATAGGATGCAAATACTGAAAACCCCCATGTTCGTATCACTATTTGAAGGTGTCAAGTCATTCGAGACCCAAGTTCTCGAGCCAATCGAGTTGCGTTGGATGGCTGTGAGCGAGAACTTCCCATTCCTGAGGCATGACGGGTGAACTTATGAGGGATAGCTCGAATTTCTCACTTCAACAGGTAAGATGGTGATTGTAATTATATATATATAATCCACAAATTAATTATAGATAAATAGATAGATAGATAGATAGGTAGATAGATAGATGGACGGACGGATGGATAGATAGATGGATAGAGATAGAGATACAGATAGAGATAGAGATAGAGATAGAGATAGATAGATAGATTAGATATAGATATAGATATATATATATATTCTACAAATTAATCGTATATATATATGAAACTCCACATGATTATGAGTCTTCATTGCCAACTTAAATCCCACCATAGGGCAATGGAAATAAATAGCAAGAGCCCAAAAAAATGGGTTAGCCACCAAACAAGACACGTTATCTGGAGATAAGTGCGTTACCAATTGACCTGTACATTCGGTCTTTCTTTGTTTTCAACCATCCATTTCGGGGTCCAATAATTTTCTCCCACACCCATCTTTTCGGAAGAAAAATCTACAGGAAACAATCCCTTCGTCAGGCTGAAAAACATAGTCTGCTGTAAAATAAAATTAAAAAACAAAATGTTCCAGAAAATGCACTATCAGGCTGTGAGCCATCACATAAAATATGATTAGACTAGTCACTGGACATGGTTTTCCCA